CTGTTTCGATGCTGATTTTTGTCAATGCACTGTCTGTCTTAATGATAAGTTCTTTGAAGGTTTCATAAGCAAAAAATCCAAAACCTAATGACATCAAAGTAACAAAGATGAAAAGAACTTAACAGTTGGTGTTTTTAAGGTCTGACTGCAAAACTTAATCGTAATAAGAAGCTTAAAAATTCAAGAAGTATGTGAAAAAGTCCCAAGGGAGCAACAATAAACTGACAGATTTTTCTCTCAAGCTGTCTTGGACTTACCACTGAAACCAAGGAAAATTTGTCATGTATTGTATTATGAAAGGTCATTTAAGGTTGTTTACCACATGTTTGCAAGTAGTTAACTCACCTACAGCAGGAATCATCGCAACTGCTGTTGCAGTGAAGCCTCTGTAAAGAGCCCTAAAACCACCCTCTGTGGTAAAGATCTGACGGATTGCATGACATACACCACAGTAGATTTGTTCATCTGCTACTTGGAATGCCAGGCGTGAGCGCACAACATCCAGGGGATATGTGAATGTACAGGCTGTCATTCCTAATAACAAGCAAAAGAGTGTCATGTTGTAGCTTTGAAGTTTCACAACGGTATGAATCATGGTGCTTTTCCTAATTGGATGTGTCAGCACAGAAAATCCAGAGAAGGGGTAAGACACTGTCTTTGAAGGCTGCAATAATGCTAGACTGCATCACAGATGATAACCTTTCTTCTTGGTCTCCTACGGACCCAATGAATTACCCGATTGTATGCATTTCAATTTTCCCTTAAACCTGATTAGCAAATTGACAATGGCACTTTTAACAGGCCAATATTATTATAGCACATACTCAAATTCTGGTACACACAAGGATTTTGGCACTGTTTCGCACATGGACTTGACACAAATTTAGTCCTGTCCTTGGCGCAGTATAGTGATGCATAACTGGACATTAATTTCTTTAACCAGCAGAAATGAGAAAATAAATGCATTGACACCTAGGTGATAGTTGCCTTTTTTTAAAATTTTTTTACCAATATACATACAATGTACTTGGAAACTCATTAAAGCATTATCAAATTCACAGGTCAATTATGACTACAGTGGAACCCTGTTAATACGGCCATCATTGGCAAAAAAAAAATTGGCTGTATTAACGAGGGTTTTTTTTTTCAAGAAAATGTATGGCGGTTTTTGCCAGGCAGCCAAAAAAAGTGGTCATAATAACAAGGTGGCCGTATTAACGAGGTGGCCATAAGGCGGGGTTCCACTGTACTTAAATGCTGAGTTTTCATTACTTCCTTTTTCAGTTGATATTTTTGAAAGCTCACCTGCCAGGGAACCAGAGATAAGCTTACTCGCAGCACAGTTATCACACAAGGGAGTAAAGACCTACAAAGTGTGTAAGGGGAACCATACTTTAGTCAAGAGAAGAACATTGCATCTCAGACCTACAAGAATATCTGAATAAGCAGTATAACTCAAAAACAAAAAAAGAAAAAACAACAACAACAGCAACAACATAATACCAAACCCTTTAAGTTAGGGCAGGGGAGGAGTTAACCTCTTCCCTGGGAGGGGGGTGGGGGGTGGGGCTTCCCTGTTTTGCCTAAAAGGCTAAGTGCCGCCAAATTGTTTTTAGTGTCTGAATTCTTAACAGAGTATACATTTGTGAAAAGGTTTGAACTCAGGAGTCGTTTCATAAGTAGGCTGAGTATGATCATCCAGGTGAATGTGGTCCTCCGTCACTGCAGTCAACAACAGTCCTATTCAGGACTACGCATTCACCTGCATGATCATACTCAACCTACTTATGAGAGTATACAGTTTTGCTATTTAGTATGTAGTGATGAACAGGGTGTCTTTTTGGGCAGAAGCTTTGCACAGGGTGTGATGTTTGGCATAGTGCAGTCTTTTATGGGGAACAAGAATTAATTTTCTTTTCCATTTGCTTCTATAGCGTCAGTTTTAATACTTACTCTGTATGCCAAAAATGAAATGAATTAAGATCATGTGAAAAGGTAAACAAACTGGGTGGTGAAATGAATTAATGGACCTTTTCTTATTCAAAGTAACAGTTTAAAGACCCCAGTGGCACACCCCCTAACCTCCCATCAGACTTTCCTGACGTGTCTCATCCCCATGGAAAAAACAATATTGTTTCACAGAGGACAAAATTATATACGCCAACTTGTTACCTTTTTGTACTGTTCGTAGGAAACAAACTGTAATGCACCATAGGGGAAGACTCTCAACATGAGAGCACCATTTCCTGAAAAGGTTGGAAACTATGTATAAACACATGTGTACAAAAAATATAGACAATATCTTCAGACTATATTTACTTCAAAAATAAAATCAATATATGGACAAAAATTTCAAACATGCGTACCTATATTTATTTTTTGATATTAAATTTACTTCTTTCATAAACAAAGTTTCGCCCCCAAAAGCTGGCTTTGTTGTCTATTAATACTTCACCAAAGCAAAACAAAAGAGAACGAAAGGTCTTACCTCTGTAGTACCCCAAAAGACCCTCCAAATGATAAATGGTTCGTAAAGCGCGGAGTACGCCTAAAAGAACAGGCAAAATATTAAAAAGGTGTCGAAAAAGG